CTGCAATGCCAACTAGATTATTTGTTTCTATTAGCTAACTAATTCATAAAATCTTCAGCTATGTCATTCAACCCATTTATGGAATTTCGTTTTAAAATCTTAATTAGGTTTCAATTAAATAAATCTTGGTTTTTGTTGTTGTTGATTTTTGTTTTCTCTTAATAATTTGTACTTCTTATTGTGTACTCTTTGATGCTTTTATACTTGCTTTAGTGTAGTCTTACTTTCCATGGGATTTAATTTTTTGCTTGTGGAATTTGCTTCCTTTTCTTCATGATATTGATTTTTCTTAAAGGCTTACTGATTTTTATTATATGTCCATATTTTTAAATGAGGGGTTATGTTGAAAAGTATTTTATTTCTTAAGCACAAATTGAAACCATTCCATGACTATGGCTAATAAATTTTTAATGACAAAAAGGGAAAGAAATCTGAAATCCCCCAAATCCTCCATTCAATATATATTCAGATTTAGTATATATCAGCAGTGACAAGTGACTGAAGAAAATATTTGTTGTTTAAAATACTGGATGATTTGAGTTTCATCTCTCACAGACAGGGTAGTTTTATTTTTTAATTTCCATAGGTTTTTAGGGAACAGGTGGCATTTGATTACGTTAATAAGTTCTTTAGTGATGATTTGTGAGATTTTGGTGCATCCATCATCTGAGCAGTATACACTGTACACAATTTGTAGTCTTTTATCCTTTACCCCCTTCTGACCCTTTCCCCCTGAATCCCCAAAATTTATTGTGTCATTCTTATGCCCTTGCATCCTCATAGCTTAGCTCCCACTTAAAACATATGATGTTCGATTTTCCATTCCTGAGTTACTTCACTTACAATCATAGTCTTCAATCTAATCCACATTGCTGTGAATGTCATTAATCCCATTTTTATGGCTGAGTAGTGTTCCAGTGTGTGTATATATATATAACACAGTTTCTTTATCCACTGATTGGTTGATGGGCATTTGAGTTGGCTCCACATTTTTGCGAATTGTGCCTCTATAAATATGTGTGTGCAAGTATCTTTTTCATATAATGACTTCTTTTCTCTGGGTAGATGCTCTGTAGTGGGATTGCTGGATCAAATGGTAGTTCTACTTTTGGTTCTTTTAAGAATCTCCTCACTGTTTTGCATAGTGGGTGTGCTAGTTTACATTCCCATCAACAGTGTAAAAGTGTTCCCTTTTCACCACATTCATGCCAACATCCATTATTTTTTTTATTATTTTGATTATGGCCATTCTTGCAGGAGAGAGTTGGTATCATATTGTGATTTCGATTTGCATTTCAGGGATAGGACAGTTTTATAACTTTGATTTTTTCCACGGAAAGTAATTAGATTATTCTTTAATCAATTACACTGTCACTATGTCATATTTTCAGTCTAGGTTTTTCTAAATTTTTCTTTAAATTTCTTTTAAAATAATTTTAATGACAAAATAAAACTGGAGATTAGCAATGTTCTTATCTCAATTCATTAATGAAGAATATGTATTTAACATGAAGCAAAGAAAAACAAATTTTATTTCCCAACAAAGTCCCCAAATTTATTTTGCTAATCTTGTCTTGCTTAGCTGTAAGTTAGAAACATACTTCTCACCATCTGACTCCATTCTTATCCTCTTCTCTATATTCCCTCTCCCCTCACCACTGCAGACATAATTTTTGTTCAATTCTGCCTTAATTACTTCCATTTTCTTTAATGCCATCAACTTTAAAATTCAGAGCCTTTACTCGTGCTTTCCACTTGTTCTAACTCCTCCCAAATTCTCAACTTGCTGATTTAAAGATCTAGCAGAAAGTTTCAGCTCTATTGAGGAGTCTTTTCCTGGGCGCAATGGCAGCTACTCTGAAGGCTGAGATGGGAGGATCTCTTGAATTCAGGATGTTCAAGATCAGCCTAGGCAACATAGTGAGGCCTTAATGTAAATAAAATAAAAATAAAAAGTCTTTTCTCATTTCTGGCATTAAAAAAAAATATATATATATATATATATATTGGTTATTTGGGTGCCTTTGCCCTGACAGTTTGTATTGTTTATTGTTGTGCAGTTCTAAAAATATGTTTAAATAAATTCATGAATAAATGAATTAGTCCAAAGGCTATGCTTAGCAGAAAAATGTTCAGCAGATAATCACCGGCCTGTTTGTTTTGTTCTCCAGTTAACATCAGACACTAAATATTTATTTTTTAAAAGAAGATAAAAATTATAACTTCTAATAAACAACAGTAAACAGTAAAATTTGTTTTACTGTAAAATGTGTAAAAGAACATTGACACAGATATGAATGGCAGCACTTTTTAGATGATGCTCTACAGCAATATATTACTAGTGACAGGCTTAATAGCCATCATTCTCTGTGACTTTTCTTGGCCCACAGAATTACAGGGACCAGGTAAAGGGCACAACAGTACATATCAGGATTTGCCGAGAACCCTTCATAAGATTCTACTTGGATAGCATGGGTCTGCTGTACTCAAATAAAATTTTTTCACATAATTTGGGCTTTTGCTAAAAATATAAATCACTCATAACATAGGTTAAACCCTAAATGCGTTTAATTTCACAGAAGAAGTTGCAAAAAGCATTTAATTATCTCAGTAGAGGTTAAGAATATATTTTATGTTGGCAACATTTTTCATAATTAGTAGTGTACTGTAAAGAATGTAAACTGTCATTAGACTATTTGAATTTGAATTTTGCCTCTCATTTTTTGTTTGACCTTGGATAAGTTACTTTCTGTGTTTCAGTGTCTTCATCTTTAAAATAGAACTAATTATATATCCCCACCCTTTAAGGTATTATGAGCACTAGATTTATCAAGTGTTTAAAAGAGTGTTGATAAATAATAAGCCTATTAAAATGTTAACTATTCTTATTAATGCAGTGGTAACATTTTAATAGAAGCAATGGCATAGAACATCTCTTTATTTGTAAGATGGAGCATATATTTTAAAACAAAATCTTGTATTTATTTGGATAGAATTCTACTTGAAAAGAGAAATGAATGTCCTTATTATTACCACAATTTATCAAATAGTAAAAATACCATAAATAATAATTTGAGAAGAAATTCCAATAAGAATAAATCTAGGAAAAAATACAATATGAATTTTTAAATATAAAAATTGTTATAGCATAACAAGAAGTAAAAATACAAAGAGGTGAAAATACAATTGGCTTATTACATGATAAAATTTTATCCACAAAGTTCCATGCTATAATATATGACTAAGAAGAGCTGAAAAGTGCAAAGTAGAAACTGCATTTTCATATAGCTAAAAATGTATGAAATAGCTGACAGTTAATATAACCTGAAAAAATGCTTTTTTTTTTAAAGAAAATATTATATCCCTAGAGGATAAATTGATATGTGAAAAGTAAAGTGATAGCATTCCTATTAACACAGATTAAAATTACTTCTTAAGTTAATTAGAATATTTAATGCAACATAAAAGTAACAAGAGATCTTTAGATCTGATTAAATTAATACTACATTTAATCTAGAAAATAAAATATGAAAACATAACAGGATATGTAAATATCTTAAAAAGCAATAATGATGCTGCTGCCTTCTGAAAATTCATACTTTACTAACAGTGAGTGATTATAATAAAAATATATCGCATTAGGTGATATATTAAATCAGAAAACCTGATCAACTAAATAGAAGGCAAATGCCACTAATACATTTATCTAATAATGTATTATATTACTATTAGTATTACAAATTACCCTTAAAATAGATTGTGGCAATTTATACTCCCCCCAAAGTATGTGAAATTGTATTTCTCCACAGCTTCCATTATACTTAATGTTAAACCATTTTAGACTAGCAAATCAACAAGTACCAACAATAGTACTTTATATCTGTTTTAAAAATTGTATTCATTTGATTACTATTGAGGTTGAAACTTTACAATATATTTATTGGTCACTTAATTATTGTTTTAAATATTTTTGACTATTTTTTAAATTTTGTGTGTATGTATTAGTTGTGTATATTTATGGGGTACCTGAGATATTTTGATACAGACATGTAATGTGAAATAAACACATCATAAAGAATGGGGTGTTCATCCACTAAAGCACTTATCCATGAGGTTACAAACAATCCAAATACACTCCTTAAGTTATTTAAAAATGTGCAATTAAGTTACTGACTACAGTCACCCTACTCTGCTATCAAATATTAAGGTTTCTTTAGTGAAATATTTGTTACAATCATTTGCTCATTATTTATTAGACATTTATTTACCTCATTGATTTGCATAAGCATTTTAAAATATAAATTGCAAATATATCTCCTCAGTTTGTCACTTCCTTATTAGTTTGATCAGCTTTTGTAAAATATTTCAAATATCTAGAAATAAATGGAAACTAGAATAATGAACACCCACATATCATGTTGTCATTAACTCGAATGAATTTTTTTTGAAAAAATATTATAGATTCAGTTGAACCCTAAAATGTGGTATTCTTCCTATTTTTGTACTCTATTCTGTGTGTTTATATATATATACACATATACATATAAACATACACACGCATATATATATATAATGATATGTATATAATATATATTATGGTTATAATATATATATAACCATAAAATGTGGCATCCTTCTTGTTTTTGTTCTTTATTCTGTGTGTGTATAAATATACATACACATACAATCATACACACATATATATAATATATATGTGTAATATATGTTGTATGTAATATATATTATATACATATACATTATGTAATATATATAATATGTATTCTGGGTTTTATACTTAAACTTCTTAAAATTTATGTTATTATGGCTCATTGTGTCATTCTGCACCTTGCTCTTCTTTCATTTTTGCTTAATATTTTATTTTTGAGATTTATCTGTGTAGAAGCATGTGGATGTTCACCTATTTTAACTGTTGTATTTCATTGTGTGATTATACTATTTATTTCCAATTAATAAAAATTGTTTCCAGTTTTGCTCTACTAAAAACAACACTGCCGAGTAGCAGCAGCGCCGGGTCCCGAGCGGAGGTTCCCCTAGCGGTGTTGTTTCTCGAGCAGCGGCAGTTCTCACTACAGCGCCAGGACGAGTCCGGTTCGTGTTCGTCCGCGGAGATCTCTCTCATCTCGCTTGGCTGCGGGAAATCGGGCTGAAGTGACTGAGTCCGCGATGGAGAGAGAAAAGGAACAGTTCCGTAAACTCTTTATTGGTGGCTTAAGCTTTGAAACCACAGAAGAAAGTTTGAGGAACTACTACGAACAATGGGGAAAGCTTACAGATTGTGTGGTAATGAGGGATCCTGCAAGCAAAAGATAAGAGGATTTGGTTTTGTAACTTTCTCATCCATGGCTGAGGTTGATGCTGCCATGGCTGCAAGACCTCATTCAATTGATGGGAGAGTTGTTGAGCCAAAACGTGCTGTAGCAAGAGAGGAATCTGGAAAACCAGGGGCTCACGTAACTGTGAAGAAGCTGTTTGTTGGTGGAATTAAGGAAGATACTGAGGAACATCACCTTAGAGATTACTTTGAGGAATATGGAAAAATTGATACCATTGAAATAATTACCGATAGGCAGTCTGGAAAGAAAAGAGGCTTTGGCTTTGTTACTTTTGATGACCATGATCCTGTGGATAAAATCGTGTTGCAGAAATACCATACCATCAATGGTCATAATGCAGAAGTAAGAAAGGCTTTGTCTAGACAAGAAATGCAGGAAGTTCAAAGTTCTAGGAGTGGAAGAGGAGGCAACTTTGGCTTTGGGGATTCTCGTGGCGGCGGAGGAAATTTCGGACCAGGACCAGGAAGTAACTTTAGAGGAGGATCTGATGGATATGGCAGTGGACGTGGATTTGGAGATGGCTACAATGGGTATGGAGGAGGACCCGGAGGTGGCAATTTTGGAGGTAGCCCTGGTTATGGAGGAGGAAGAGGAGGATATGGTGGTGGAGGACCTGGATATGGCAACCAGGGTGGGGGCTACGGAGGTGGTTATGACAACTATGGAGGAGGAAATTATGGCAGTGGAAATTACAATGATTTTGGAAATTATAACCAGCAACCTTCTAACTACGGTCCAATGAAGAGTGGAAACTTTGGTGGTAGCAGGAACATGGGGGAACCATATGGTGGAGGAAACTATGGTCCAGGAGGCAGTGGAGGAAGTGGGGGTTATGGTGGGAGGAGCCGATATTGAGCTTCTTCCTCTTTGCCATGGGAAGGTGTCTTGCTGCAGGTAACTAATGAAGAAGTGGTCAACCACAGAGTCTTCAAGAAATAAGAAATTCTGTACCATCTGAAAGTAGTTCTTGTTGGTGCCTTCATTTAAAAAGCACTCTATAGACCAATGGAACAAAACAGAGGCACCGGAGGCAACACAACATACATACAACTATACAATCTTTGATAAACCTGACAAAAACAAGCAATGGTGCAAGGATTCCATGTTTAACAAATGGTGTTGGGAAAACTGGCTAGCCATGTGCAGAAAGCAGAAACTGGACCCCTTCCTGACACCTTACACTAAAATTAACTCCAGATGGATTAAAGACTTAAACATAAGACCTGGCACCATAAAAACCCTAGAAGGAAATCTAGGCAAAACTATCCAGGACATAGGAGTAGGCAAGGACTTCATGAACAAAACACCAAGAGCATTGGCAACAAAAGCCAAAATAGACAAATGGGACCTAATGAAACTCCACAGCTTCTGCACGGCAAAAGAAACAGTCACTAGAGTGGATCGGCAACCAACAGAATGGGAAAAAATTTTCGCAGTCTACCCATCTGACAAAGGGCTGATATCCAGAATTTACAAACAACTCAAGCAGATTTACAGGAAAAAAACAAACAAGCCCATTCAAAAGTGGGCAAAGGATATGAACAGATACTTTACGAAAGAAGACATATATGAGGCCAACAATCATATGAAAAAATGCTCATCATCACTGGTCATCAGAGAGATGCAAATCAAAACCACATTGAGATACCATCTCACGCCAGTTAGAATGGCGATCATTAAAAAATCTGGAGACAACAGATGCTGGAGAGGATGTGGAGAAAAAGGAACACTTTTACACTGTTGGTGGGAGTGTAAATTAGTTCAACCATTGTGGAAGACAGTGTGGCAATTCCTCAAGGCCTTAGAAATAGAAATTCCATTTGACCCAGCAATCCCATTACTGGGTATATATCCAAAAGACTATAAATCGTTCTACTATAAGGACACATGTACACGAATGTTCATTGCAGCACTGTTTACAATAGCAAAGACCTGGAATCAACCCAAATGCCCATTGATAATAGACTGGATTGGAAAAATGTGGCACATATACACCATGGAATATTATGCAGCAATCAGAAATGATGAGTTCGTGTCGTTTGTAGGGACATGGATGAATCTGGAAAACATCATCCTCAGCAAACTGACACAAGAACAGAAAATGAAACACCGCATATTCTCACTCATAGGTGGGTGATGAAAAATGAGAACACATGGACACAGAAAGGGGAGTACTAAACACTGGGGTCTATTGGGGGGAAAAGGGGAGGGCCAGTGGGAGGGGGAGGTGGGGAGGGATAGCCTGGGGAGAAATGCCAAATGTGGGTGAAGGGGAGAAGAAAAGCAAAGCACACTGCCATGTGTGTACCTACGCAACTGTCTTGCATGCTCTGCTCATGTACCCCAAAACCTATAATCCAATAAAAAATTTTAAAAAAAATAAAATAAAATAAAATAAATAAATAAATAAAACAAAACAAAACAAAACACTGCCATGAACATTCTTAGACTTCATGAGTTTACCACGAGGGTATATTCTGAGTGGTAGAAATGCTGGGACAAAGGGCTTGGGCATCTTTTACTTTCCTAGTATGTCCAAAGAGCTGCACAAAGTGTTAAGATTAATTTATATGTCTATTGAAAATATATGGAGTTTTAAAAGCCAATTTTTAATACTCTTAAAAGTTTTGCCTATCTGATGAATTTAAAATAGTGTACAATTGCTTTAATTTGCAATTCCTTATTTAGAGGGATTTTTGGTCTTTTTTTCTTATTTACTTGTAGAAGTTTTTTTCCCAGTAATTTCTTTATACAAATCCTTTGATGGTTAAATTTGCTGAAAACATGTTCTTCCTATGTATAGCTTGACTTATCAAGAAGAATCTTTGGATTTAAAGAAGGTTACATTTTAACAGTTATTGCTATAATCGTTTTTATAATTTATACTTTTGTTCATCTTCAGGTCTTTCCTTTCATCACAGCCATAAAGACATTCTGCTATATAGTTTAAAGTTTTGAAAGTTTTGGTTTGTGTATTAAAATTACAATCTACCTGTAATATGTTTTCATGTAGGTAATGATGTAAAGATCTTCTTTTTTCCCTTATAGATAATAAATTGTCTCACAGCATTTATTGAATAGCTCATCTTTTCCTACTTTTCCTAAAATAGAGAATTATTTCTGTGCTGTTTATTTGCTTGCAGTATTTTGCTTTTTATCTCTACATGAATTCCATGCCAAAGACAAACTGATTCAATTTCTATATAGTTTGATAATGTCTTGATATCTCAAAGACATATGCCGCGGTATTTCTTCTCTTTTTCTTCTTCCAAGTTTTCTAAGATTTTATTTACCCCTCATTCTTGTATTTAAATTTGGGATTAGTTTCTTCATTTCCATTTAGAATGTAGGAATTTTGATTCAAATTGGTTATATTTCTTACATTGGATAGATTTGACATCCTTACAATGTTGAGGCCTCCCAGCTACCCATATGATACATTTTCCATTTATCTAGGTCATATTTTGTGTGTTTAAATACAATTGTATATTTCACTATGAAGTTCTTGTGCATAATTTTCTCCAGTTATTCCTAGGTACATTACAATTTATTGTCGGTATTGTAACGGAATAATTTTTCTATTATGTTTTCTTGTTTGCTGACTGCTGTGTAGGGAAATACTAAGAATATCTGTAGGTTCTTGACCCTGACACACTTCGAACCTAGCTAGAAGTTAACTTTTAGACTTCCCCTATTTCGCTCATAAGAGTAAACAGCAGATGATAATAGGAGTAGGAAATACCAGTGGCTTTCAAGGGGTAGCTTTAACAAATATATGTATTTATTTTATAGTATATATTTAATTTTCTTTATATATATATATGATATATTACATTTAATATATATGATTATATCATATATATATTAAAAGAAATTTAAATTGAGCTTTAAAGGAAGAAAGGTCTTAAGTAAGAGGACTGACTTGAGGAAAAACAAACAATTTCACAGAGAAAGAATGTTTTGGCTTATTTAAGCCATAAAATTTCCCACAATGCATCTAGATTGATAAATTTTTTAAGTTCAATTATTTATGTTTTTAATAATTTTGAAATAATGTAGTTCTCATTTAGTTCCAAAGTTATTCAAGACAGCTTACAAACTATATATATTCAGCGCAACATATCTGTTTTTAAATTAGTAAACTGTGACGAAGAAAAATAAGTTTAGAAATCTAAGGCATTGTAGAGAAATGTAATATATCAAAATGCAGGTCATTCATATCTTACAAAATGACTAAAACTGAGTTGTGCGCAAGACTCTGAAATCTTCAGTAGCCAAAGTAAGTAGGGAATTTAATCAATTTTATGGTTTCTATTGTCCATAAGATAAGCTTTTCAAACAATAAGACAATTTTCAGAGTACTGAGGTCTGAGAAAAATATCCTCTCAACAGTCTTGTATATAAGATACCAAGTGATAGAGTGGGCTTCACCTTCTGTAGCATCTCAGTAACGAATGAATGTGATAATGAATATCTTATGTCTTTTACTGTTCTTTCAGGTAAATGTAAAACATAATTTCAAAGCAAAATTCAGTGGAATTGATTCACTAGGGCATGCTAAACAATAAGATTCAAGTCTACAAATTGCAGATAGTCTTTCTTAATTTAAGAATAAAATCTTGGCTCTTCAGCAGACCCTGCCGAATAAAACCCTAGTTGTTATTCAAAAATAATTATTGGGGTTTATGAGCAAATGGAAAACATATATCCCAATAAAAACTTTATGAAACAAATACTTGGTGGAATGCTTTCTATTAATTGAATTTGAGTAGGGGCTACTCAAATTTGCAACCATGAACAGATGTAAAAATAGACAAATTCTATGTGAAAAGGGACACTGTGTTGTTGACTGTTGTATCATCAACTTTTTGCCTAATATCTGGAACTTAGTAAGTGTTCAATATATATCTGGGGAATAAACAAGTAAGAAAATGAATGAAGTGAAGATTCATATATCCTGCTTTCTACAGTGTGACTTTTGCATAGAATTGTGCAGCACAGAGGGGTTCCATGCTTCAGCAAGGACCTAAAACATAAATAAGCCTCTCTCTAACACATAAAAGCAGATATGTATGAATTATACAAGGCACAGTTGATATCCTTTTAAGAAAATTAAGGAATCTAATTAGTAGTTAGCATTCTTTCCCATAAGGAATGGCCCCAGTATTTAAGGTTCTGTGAGGCTAAAATTATAAAATAAAATTAATATATTTGTAGAATGTCAAGCTCTATACATGTATAAACGGTTGTACCATTTTTAAGCACCCTCCAAATGTCCCTGAATCCTGACCCGTCCAACTATTCAATTTCTCCATTGTATTTCTGAAAGCTTGAGCTAGTCTATCACCTCCTCTTTATATAGTGGTCTATCACAACCACTTTCTGACTTTAGTTCTTTTACCTGGGATATTTTAATAATCCTTTTCCTTCTTGTTTCATTATCTGGTTCTTCCTCTTTGAGTCCATGCTTCACAACATACAGGAGTAGTTAAACCTATAGAATCTTGGTTGAAATGCAGATTCTACCATGTATTAGCTATTTGATATTAAACTAGTTAATTTAGTCTTAGTATCCTCATCTATAAAATAGGAATAATAATCATATATAGAACTTTTGGGCTGTTCTAAGGTTTAAATGGGATAATCTATGTAATGTGCACAATACCTGCCACCTAAACAGCTAGTGATATATGTTGATTGTTGTTATAATTATTTTACCACTGAGATCTAAAGCCTAAATCCAACCCTCACCATCCTTACTGAGACATTTCAGTGATTGCCAGAAGCCTAAATGCAGAATATGTAATGTTTTTGTAATGTGACCTCAACTTCCCTTCGCACTCTTATCACCTACCTTCTCTCCCTCCCTTTATAATCTGACCAGTCATTTCTGGGTTTAGTTATCTAAGTAGACTGTGGATTTGGCACATGGTGTCCCTCTTTCTGGAATGCCCCATCCTCCCTGCTCTGGCAAAAAGCTTTCTCCTCCTTCAAATTACTCCTCCTCTAGAAACGTCTCCCTGGTAGAATTACCAACACTCCTGTCACTACATAAACTCTCTAGAGATACACTGAATTTCCTTACACTGTGTCTATCCCTCTCACTAGATGTGAATTACTCTAGCTCAGGAACCCTTTTTGAAGCAGTTATAAGTCCCAGAATGCCTACAACATAGATTTAATATGTATTATTTAACAAATGAACAAACACCTAGCCCAGGCTCTTCTGCTTAACATGTGCTCAATGACATTTGTATAATCAAAGTTACGATATTTTATTTTATTCAAAAATGCTTGCTCCTGCAGAATCCCAACCTACTGGCAAACAGAGTTTAGACTGGTTGTTTCAGGGTTCTGATAGGGGTCACAAATACCAGCTTATATGCTGTCAATTTAAGAAAGGGATTTTTCTTACTAAAACCTGGAAGAAAAAGTGAGGCTTGCAGCAGATAGCCCCAGAAAAAAAGATTTCCTGCCAAGAACTGCTGCCCCATTCTTTGTTTCCCTCATTTCCCAACCTAGTAGAGAAACTACAAGTGGAGGGAAAAAAAGTGGGGTGGAAGAAAAGTTGGCTTGCCTCTCCTACTCCTCCTCCTGCAGAAGTCTACACCAAGCCAGATGTCCTAGGATGCCTCTCAAGGGCACCGGATTTTTGGAGTTCTCAAATACGTCCTGAGTTTCCTCTGTACCTTTCGTAACACTCTGGCTCCCTCTCTCTCCACTTTCCCAGCTCCCAGTCACCCCCACTCTCAACCCCTGCTGACCACAACCGCCCGGTACTGCCACCGGCAAACAGAGAACAAGAGATCCGCCTCCAGAATCCCGGTTCTGGGACCTCCCTGACTGTCAACGGAAGATGCCAATCACAGGCAGCCTTAGCCAAATCACTGAGAGCCCAGTAAAAAAAACAAAATCAGGTTGGGGGCTGAAAGGAAATCAATATAGCAATCTCCAGTGCATGAAGGGAACTCCGCTTACACTTGCTCGTAGGATTCCCTGCGTGAAAACAGCAGCTTGTCTCTGACTACCCGGAGGACACGGAGAACCCCAAAAAGGAACTTTAGAAGGATTGAAATCTGTTGCCTGTTCCACTAGGAATACTGTTTGCAAGGCACAAGGTGTCTTTTGGTAGTGAGCGCCCTCTGCGCATGCGCAGGTCCATTCGGGAATTACTGCCCAGCAGCCGACTAAGTTGCATTCCTTGAATCTTCGCAGAAAAGACAATTCTTTAATCAGAGTTAGTAATGTGGACAGTACAAAATCGAGAGAGTCTGGGGCTTCTTTCTTTCCCTGTGATGATTACCATGGTCTGTTGTGCACACAGGTGAGCTGCTGTTGTTTAATCTTTCTCTTTTTTCTTGGTATGTTTCTTTTTACGTGCCTGCTGGATCATGTATCTTGTTATTTGGGGGTAGGTGTGCCTGTATCTTTTTATATGTGCTCACGCTTTGTGGTCATTTTGAATACGGTCCTTACTTCTTCCCTTCAGCGCCAATGAACCCAGCAACATGTCATACGTGAAAGAGACAGTGGACAGATTGCTCAAAGGATATGACATTCGCTTGCGGCCGGACTTCGGAGGTAACGCTTCATCTTTTTCAACCTGTAACCCATCCCTAGTTCTCCTTTTCTGTCAAAGATAAATGTCAAAAAAGAAAAAAAAAAAAAAAAGCCTGTCATTTTCGTAAGCGTGCACTAAGCCCTGAACACACACACACACACACACACACACACACACACACACCGGGACCCCAGGCTCAGGTGGATGGATCCTCAGGCGGAGGCGACCTTTCCCGGGCCGACACACCCTCTGCATAGTCACTGCATCACGCGTGTGCCCACACCTGTTTTCCCAGGCTGTCCCCTGAAAGGGGTGGTGGGACGAGTAGGGAGGGAGCCCGTTCAGAATGGAGTAAGGGCTGGGAAGCCCCCTTCTCCTCCCCAGCCCGCTGTCGCTCCGAGAATCTGTCCCTAATATGGCCCACCTCCCCGGCAGGCCCCCCGGTGGACGTCGGGATGCGGATCGATGTCGCCAGCATAGACATGGTCTCCGAAGTGAATATGGTGAGTGGCCTCCCGACGGGCCCGGCGGTCCGGCTTACGCAGAAGCGAAATGGACCGGTCCCTGTGCCCTCTGCGTCTCACTGGCGGTCACCTCGCCCCTGTCCCCGGGGTTACCACTCCGCACGCGCTTCTCACGCCGGCACACACACCCGGTCACCCTGGTTTGTAATTTCGACACACACGGGCTACTGCGGTGTTCCAGGGGAAACGTGCTCAGCACTATTTTGGGAAGAACGGGTGACTGTTGCGCCGTAGAGCTGCTGGGGCGGAGTCTGAGCGTTACTTTAGCTGGGTTTCCCTGCGTGTTCGGATGAGGAGGGCACCATCTGCCGGCAGCTGGGCGGCCTGCACTGGGGTGCCCCGACCGGTGGTCGGCAGCCATCACCTCCCCAGGCGCGGCTCGGGCAATCCCCGTGGCCCTCGCAGTCGGCAAGCCCGGTGCACCGAGGCCCCGCCACCCAGCGCACACTCGAGGTTTCAAAGTGTCCCTCCCTCCGGGCTCAGGCACACCGTGTGGCAGGAGCAACAGGCTGAGACGACAGCCCATGCTTGCTAATAGGAAAAGTGCCCGAGCCTGGGTAGGCTTGTCTTGTTCCCTCGTGGGAGGGTATGAATTTGTCTTGCTGCATCTTGCAAATTTAACTTGAAACAAAATGGGTCAAGTTATATTGCTTCACTTTGCTCTAGAAATCTACGCATGTCTAAAAAGCTTGATAATTTAAGGGACGTTGGAAGGGAGAGGGGGCGACGGTGAAATAGCACAGTCCTTTCATTTCTAAGGGGTCTTCTTTCATTTATATTTTCCCTCTCTTTTTGGAAGCTGTTGAAAAATCAACTGAGATAGCTGCCACTTTTCTGTCGGCTGTTTCCGTCCACTGTGGGTAGCAGTTTGCTACTTAGAGTTTCTAACTGTTGTTTCTTGTAAGACGGGGGAAAAGCCTGTTGCTTTTCTAGAATCAACCACCCAGGGGACAGCTAGATCTACGTGAGCAAAATGCCATTTTTATTCCCCTTGTGAAAAAATATTATGGCAGCAGAAATTTAGACATTCTGAATAATTTAAAGAGTAAAACCTTTAGAGATTTTTATCACCATATAGCTATAAAGGCTATTGAATTGTCTTTCATTTCATTTCTACTGTGTCGTTTTATTTTAAAATGCTGTGGTTTAAGAATTTTTTCTTTTCCTTTTTAGATTATGTTAGGGAAGAAATAAATATATCTATAGCTTATTAAATAGGAATAGAATACAAGGTGTGACTAATTTCTGTGCCTTGTAGTTGTAGCTGCTCCTGCTTCAAATAATATTTAAAATACTATTTTTCTGAAATACTATTTTTAAATGTCTCTGTCGTGCTGGAAAAAGAAACTCAATTTTAGAAACGTAATGCACAATGAATATTTTCTTATTTGGCAAAATGACTTATTATATTTTGTTTACATACATGTTAATACCGCAAAATAACCCAAAACACAATATTTACAAACACTCTGAGGAATGTAATAATATGTGCCTAATCTACACAAATGCAACTGGACAAATTAGACAATGAATTAGTTTAATAAGTCATATTATGTAGATTAATAATGATAATATTTTCCTTTTCAATCATTTACTTTGGTATCTTATAAGCATCCACATATAATTTGTGATATAGGAGATTTAAAAAACTCAAAAAGCAAATGCAGCCTTTGGTCTACCTTGACCTGTAGCGTGCTATGCTTTTCAGAATTTTTAAAAATATATAATTCTGTTGGCTATATTAACATACACCTTTTTAGTTTTTGTTAAACTGAATTAAATAGGGAAGTTCTTGTAATCAACAACCACCATAACAAAAAAGTTCTGTTTAATCAGTTGTTCAGCTGAATTCATGCATAAGCTGAGAACAAGGATTGACGTTAATTGAAACACCACTGGATATTTCTTCCTAATGATTAAGTAATACAGTCTGTTTACTCACGGCAACATGATTATGCACTTGATTTTTAAAAAAATATTCACCCAACCAGTAAGCCTTTGAAAATTCATATTCCAATACAATTCCCATGACTTTTCCTCAACAATGTTAGCGACAGGATTAGAAAATAGAAACCACTCAATGTTGAAAAATAATAAGCCTTGATTTACTTGTTCTTTCTTGTTTCTCCTTTTAATGAGCACTGCTGACAGACCCCAAAGTTTATTTTATCTTTTCTCATCTATGACAAAGCATTGAAATAAATAGATTGGAAATAACTCCAAGAAAAATGGAAATAAAGAGAAATGTTTTGAGACTTGAGAGCTCTGTCTAAACACAACTCAGATGGTTAGCCCACACCCCCATAAGAAAATTGTTTATTATATGTTGTTATTTTATATAATATAAACAGCGTTGGAAGTCCATGGAAATATAAGACTTATTGCTTATTGCTTTTTGTATTAAGCATGTTTCAGTACCCTGATAGGAAATAACTTTTGAGTTATTTAATAGAAAATTTTCATCTACATTAAATCACAAGAATATAATAAAGAGAATGGACAAGAATATCATAAAAATAGTTTTTAAGAAAATGCAAGTTGAATCCATTACTAAAACATTGTTCATATTTATGTTTTCATCCATTATCATTATGACCCAGTCCCTGGCTGGGAAAATGACATAATTGTGCATTAAATTAGTGGATTTGAGAATTAGGTTCTGTTCATTTTTGTTTGCTTCCCAAGTAAAATATAACTCCTGTTTGGTGTATACATTGTCTGCTTTAAAGACTAACATCACAGTAAGAGCATTTTCTGGTTTCTTAATTTGGGAAAAATTAAGTGTTTTCTTAACAGGAAAAAAACAGTCTTTATATAGCAAAGAATCTCTACAATCAAGAATCATTGGTTCTAAGCAAGGGAATGCAAAAAATTGTGAATAATAATCCCGATGCAGGAAAAAAAAATATCTATTTGAGAACAAGACTTTTCAGGCAATAATATTACTGATTAAATTAGAAAGGACTGTTCTTGCATCATGGGATACATGGTTCACGTGATAGCAACTACATACTGTTACCAGTCTCTAAGCTGTCATCTTAAAAAATCACCATGATTTCCATTTATATAATATACCCATCAAACCTTGTCTTTTAAGTTTCTGCCAAGCCATAGACACACAGACACACACACACACACACACACACACACACACACACACGACTAAAGATGAACAGGAAGCAGTTGGAGTAAACAGAGACAAGAGCTCCCAGAAACTATCCTTAATGTGACCACTAACATCTGCTACTGTAAAGCCAGTAAGACACAGTAGTAGGCAGGCTTTCTCTTTGAACAGTAGTTTGGGGAAACATGATACTAACTTCCAGCAAACAAGTAGTTGAAGTCTTGTATTTCAAATTCCAGCGACTAGCTGTTCCTTCTTATTCAAGAGGAGGATCCTGATTAACACAGGAGCTCCAACCAGGCAGCTTTCTGTACCTGATCTGAAGACACGATGGTCCAAATGGCCACCCTCAGAAACCCTTACATTGAATGCGTCCTAACTAAACATAGGACTCAATCCAAGTTGTTCCCAATATGAGATAGCTATCATAGATTCATTGTCTTTCCTTCCTTCGTGCACAAATGAGTATAACAGTAAATGCTCTTACAGAGATTACAGTGAACAACAATGACAGAAACGAAAATGAGCCAATTTTATAAATAATGCTTAAGGAAAAACAAACTTAATTTACCAAATATTCATTAAGAATTCACTGTTTCTGTTGTGGTGGTGGTGATTTTAATATCAGACTCTGGAAGTTTCTGGTACATACTTTAATTACATCTCATTACTATCACTGTGGTGACCCAAAAGAGTAACCGCTTGTCAGATTGCCAGTCTCCACACGCATTTCTCTAAGTCAGTGCTTCTCAACTCTTTCACATGTACCTGAATCGTTCTGGGATCTTATTAAGATGCAAATTCTGAATCAGAAGTGTGGGATGGGGCCTGGCATTCCTCATTTTTCCTGGGCAATGCTGATTGCTGGTATGTAGATTCTACTTTGAATATCAAAGTAGTACATCATCCTAAATTCTAGCTTCATTAAGAAATTGGCTGGGTGCAGTGGCTTATACCCATAATTCCAGCACTTTGGGAGGCCAAAGTGGGTGGATTACTTGAGGTCAGGAATTCAAGACTAGCCTGGCCAACATGGTGAAACCCCATCTCTACCAAAAACACAAAAATCATCTGGACGTTGTGGTGCATGCCTGTAGTCCAAGCTACTCTGGAAGCTGAGGCATGAGAGTCACTTGAACCCGGGAGGCAGATGTTGCAATGAGCCACTCCAGCATGTGCAATAGAGCAAAACTGTTAAAAAAAAAAAAGAGAAATGAACATATTTTCCTTTCAAATTTCTCTATGAATGTTGTTGTTTTAGTTGCAGGTTAATTTCCTGCTGGTTAAGCAGGTACTTGTTATCTAAAGGGAAAGTTAATTCCATAATTGATGATAACCAGTAGGACAAAGGCAGGAGTCTGGATGATGGGGCTTGAGCTAAACTAATAAATTGTCTTCCTAATTGTGTTTCTACCCATGAATCAACCAATCTCAAATGATGGCAATAAAAACATTTCCGAGTACAGTAACTCTACAATACTATCCTATTGCTTTACAGAAACACCTGTGACTTTTTTCTTCAGAATAAAGAACACTGCAACCTGTTTCTCCACACTGAGGAGCTAGCAATAACTTTGTAAAAACATACTCTCGATGTTGTCAGTAAATTCTCTGACGTTATAATAGAATTTCCTTTGCAAACAGAACAAATAGGAGAGTACCATTTAAAAGCAGAAACAGGTATTAGCAAGCATATGAATACTCTTTACTCTTATGTGAGTAATCACACAAGTTTTTCTTTTAGGTGCTGGATTATAATTTTATAACATCTGGAGAGGCTGAGAAAGGAAAATCTTCCCTTTGCCATTCTGTTTGGGGGATAACTTTTTTTTTTTTTTTTTTTTTTTTTTTACTC